ACAGAAGTATAGCATAAGATATACATGTAACACAGAGTATAGCATAGATATACATGTTAAACAGAGTATAGCATAGATATACATGTAACACAGAGTATAGCATAGATATACATGTAACACAGAGTATAGCGTAGATATACATGTAACACAGAGTATAGCATAGATATACATGTAACACAGAGTATAGCATAGATATACATGTAACACAGAGTATAGCATAGATATACATGTAACACAGAGTATAGCATAGATATAACACAAATTTGAAAGGTACATACATGTAGCTGTTTGAACATGGAATATTTCAACTGAAAGTATGTTGCTTGGTGACAAATGGCACATATGTACATGTATTAATGAATAATTTATCAATATTTGTAAAAATAGTGTTCAATTTTTCATATCATTGAATGATAACAGCACACTATACACAACCTTCTTGACTTGTTGAAAACAGTATTTTTTTGCAAGAACTGATTACTTTATAGCAAATGAATAATATTGTCAAATAAAATATTACACCACACAAAGTGTTCCACATTTACCCGGTAAGTAGTTTGTTATGTTAATGATACACTGTGAATGCAATAATTGTTTGCCAGCTTTGATATTTAAAAATAGGTGATACATGCGATGCAAGACGCCTGATTTTTGTTTACTCAAATATTTTCTCATATTTTTGACCAAATGGACACAATTTTCCTTTGGCTATTTGATCCAAATTGTTAACAATACTTAAATCAAAGAAAGCTTAGAAAGAACTCTTGTGTGCTGAGAGTATTGGAGACACATTAAAAATTAATTCAAAATTACTTGTACTTATATTATATTATAACTAATATGAACAGATTTGAGTGTAAAACTAATAAAGTCTGCTTATTATCTAGATGTAATATCTATGTACCAAGTTTCATTGAAATGTAATTAGAACAAAAAATTATGAATTACTATGCTAATTAATATGAACAGATTTTAACCCAAAATTGATCAGGCCTGTCTATTGTCCATGTACCAAATTTTATTCAAATGTGATGATCAGTAATTGAGATATCAGTGTTAATTAATTAATTATGTTAATTAGATGATTAATAAGCATAAATATTTACCAAAAACTAATTGGGTCTCTGCATAGTCCTAAGTTTATTGAAATGTGATGAGTACTCTTTATAGGTTTCATTAAAATCCAATGAGTGGTTCTTTATATATTAGTAGAACAGCTATGGAACAGCAAAAAATTAACTAATTACGCAAAATAGGTAATTAATATGCACAATTATTTACCCTAATACTAATCAGGTCTCTACATAGTCCTAGAAGATCTATGTTGCAAGTCTCATTGAAATGTGATGATTAGTACTTGAGATATCAGGCGAAAAGCTGTAAATTAACTAATTATGCTAATAAGGTGATTAATATGCACTAATCAGGTCTGCACAGTCCTTAAGTAACTATGTACCAACTTTCATTGAAATGTGATGATTACTACTTGAAATATCAAAAGCTGAAAATTAATTACTGAAAAGTAATAACTGATATTACCATAAAAACTATCAGGTCTGTGCAGTGTCCTATGACATCTATGTACCAAGTTTTATTGAAATGTGACGATTAAACGTTATGCAAATTAGGTAATTAATATGCACGGATTTTTACCCAAAACTAATCAAATATGTGCATTAGTTCAGAGCATCTATGTGCCAAGTTTCATTAAAATCCAATGAGTGATTCTTCAAATATCAGTGGAACAGTCATGGAACAGCTACAAATCTACATGTGTATGCACCAAGGTTCATTGAAATAGTGGTTCTTGAGATAACCGTGGAACAAAAAAAGTGACAACGCATGCACAGACAGACAAACAGGCAGGCAGACAGGCAGGCAGGCAGGCAGGCAGGCAGGCAGGCAGGCAGGCAAGCAGGCAGGCAGGCAGGCAGACATTTCTACTGTTTTATTTTCAGTACATTCCATTATTTAGTTACAGATTTAAAAATAGTTTCATGTTTACGATCAAAAATTATATTTGAGAGCCAATAAACGATGAGGTAAGTGTACACGTTTACATAATACTCGAAATATGTGTGATATTAAAATATTGTGATAATAGAAGAATAAACGCATTACAAAAAAGTTTATGTATAGTAAAATTACATACATACTCATACATTTTTCTTTTTTATTACTCAAGTATTAAAAGTAACAATTATTTACAGTTTAAAAATGTAGGTGAGGAGAAAGGAACAATTAAACTAATATTAAATCGAATAATAATTAGCGAGTGAAATTATATTGATTACAATTGTGAAAATTATGAAAAATAATGATATATTGAAAATAACGAGTACATAAACGAGTTAAATTGTGCGATTGTTTCTTTGCCAATGTCTAATTGCATGTATCTTCTGTGGACTTGTTACGTGGTATGTAGTCTAGCCATTGTCAATGACATTCAAGATTCTTAGTGCGTCCCCATCTAGTGTAGCCACTGCACCATTAACACACCATTGTAGTTCAAATACATCCAAAGTCTCCATAAGTAGATGGTAATCGCATGTTATTCTATATTTCAGGCGAGAAAAGAAGCACTGTACCACTTGAGCTGAATCTTTCAGTTTGTTGTATCTGGTTATGTGTATAGCTGTTTTGAGTGATGAAAGTAAATAGCATAACAAGCAATGTGACTGCGTGGTGGATTTTCTCCTCGGTGGACCAAGAACATAGTAAGCTAGAGGTACATTTTGCCAATCAAGTAGTTTATAGATAATTGTGTTGAAAATGTGAAATAGTGGTGTTAGCCATGGACACTCAACAAAAATGTGAGCTATGTCCTTTTGTTAACATACATACATACATACATACATACATACATACAGTACATACAGACATACATTTCTGTTTTTTATTACTCGATTTTTAAAAGCTTTTTACATTTTTTACACTTTTTGCAAGCGTCAGTTATGTCATCTTGAACATTCAGTTTTTCATCAGTTGGGGTAAGGTGAGTTTCGGCGTCATATGCATCGTTTTGTCTTGGCTGAGTAGTCTTCATAAAGTATTTTCCTAGCTTTGAAGTCAATCGTTGGATTTGTATTTTGTACTTGCATTTTATGTCAGCATTTTTGAGTAGATTTGTTAGCGATTTTATAAGCAGTCTGAGATCAGTCGCATGCTCAACAATTCTTTTGGAGTTAACCGATTCTTCCACAAACAACATAAGTGATTCGTTAGATAATAGATTGTCAGTTTCCCTAGGATAGTCATCTTGTATAATCTGTGATAAGTTCGAGACATCTGTCGTTTGTTTCCTCTGCACAATTGGCAGATGTGTGATTTTTCTTGTGGAATATATCAGCTGGTGCACTGGATGCTCCCTCTAACCCCTTGAAAAAGGAGAAAGAGCTACAAGAGATCAAGGACGGCAGTGTGAAAATGGGAGGTTTTTGTATTTTCACTTTACTAACAGTTCTTTTTGTAGTTATTGGCATTGTCCCAGTTGTCGTTCGAGATGCAGTCACTGTGGTGTCGACGTCTGTTTTTTCAGTACAGGAGAAAGAACAAGAGAATCTGAATGGCATTGAAAAGGGAGGCGATGTTTGTAACGTTTCTTCATCAGTAGTAGGCTCGATTAGCGTTTTATTAGATTTATTTGTGCCGTCATCACTAACATCATGTCCGTCTGTTTTAGCAACCATTGCCATGGTTTCACCGTCTTTAGCAGAGGTGTTATTTTTAGCACCTTCATTTGCATTTGGTTTTTCGGCGCACGTGGCATCATTACTGGCAGTGTCAATATCGGTATGTTTATTGGTCAACCGCTGTTGTTTAACTGGATTGTTTATAATAGTTTCTTGTGAAACTTCCTTGCAGTTGCGCCGGACATGACCTTTCTTGTGACACTTATAGCACACCACTTCATCAGTAGTTAAATAAATTTGATATAATTGTTTCTCGTATGCAATATTAATCACGTTGTCTAGTTTATTTTCTTGGCTTAGCATAAAAACTTGTCGGCGGAAAGATTTTACATGTCTTAGTTCAGGTTGTTTACAGCCAAGAGGTATGGTGCGAATCTTGCTGACGATGCGTCCGTAACGGGATAGTTCTGCCTCAAGAATATCGTTTGGAATAAAAGGGGAGACTCCAGACAACCGACTTTTTTGGCTGATTTAACCAGCGGCTTGGTGTAAATAAAGGAATTTCCGAAGATGATACCATTTGTACATAGTTTTTCAACAGACTTAACAGAGTCAAGAAAAACAATATTGCTGCAGTTAACTCAGGAGGCAGCAACAATATTTGTTGGTTCAACAATATGAGCAATGGCTAGTACATACGATGTAGTCTTCAATGTTAATGCCAATAAGTGATTCACACTTTATTCCATGGTTCCGTGTTAGCCCATCAAATGGGTTGTGTCGTGGAGATCTAACCATGATCTAACCATGATCTAACCATGATCTAACCATGATCTAACCATGATCTAACCATGATCTAACCATGATCTAACCATGATCTAACCATGGCCTTAAAAGGCCCACCAACAGAAAAACAAAGATTAGCAGGTGAAATAATGTCCAACAAGTGATTGTTAATGACACAGTCCCCGTCCCAAATTTTGTGATCTGACATATCAATTTGATGCTGATGAAGTCATTGAAACCATTAATAGGAGATGGATTTGTAAAAAATTATGATTTAGTGCTTTTACACAAGAATTGGACATTGGGCAGTCATATTGAATCAAATTACAAAAAACAAGTGGCGTAAACAACAGATTGTTTATTTACATCAAAACACGTGTTCCGTGTAGTAGTAATATGGCCAAAAATAAAAACAGCTGTTATTTGGCCATCTTTGATCTGATTATGAAACACACTGATATGTATGATGTATGTGCCAAATACAAATGAAAATGGTACATAAATTGTGGAAATATAGTAGTAAGGCCAAAAAGTCAGATAGCTTTCAATCGGCCATCCTTGACCAGATTTTGAAACAAATTGTTATGGACATGCATCCTAACATGTATAAAGTACATGTATGTGCCAAATTTGAATGAAAACTGACAGAGCACTTCCAAGATACCGCATAAAAAAACAAAACAAGATGCCTGCCAGTCGACTATCTTTCATCCAATTGTGAAATAAATTGTAC